CAAAATATTTTATTATTTTCCAATGGAATAATCTCACATATCGTGAGTGATGTGACAATACCTATCAGCTTTTCACAAGTTTTGTAGGGAGACGAAAATCTTTATTTATAGGAACTATAACTAAACTTTAAAAACTAAGGAATCAAATAAAACTAAACTGAAAAAACTAAAGAATCAACTAACCGAACTTTAAAAATTAAAGAACCAACTTAAATTAAAATTACCAAGATTAAATTACAAACGAAAGTTAAAGATAATTAAATTAAAAATGAAAACTGTAAACAAGCCGAAGCACGTGGAAGACGAAAATGGACGAAAGTCGAAAATATACAAATCTATCGTGCTATGTATTAAGAGTATAAGTCAAAAATATCAATTTTTCACTAGGGCTCTTCAAAGTTTTTATTACCACTTTTGAAATAACTGTTACAACTAAATATCAAAATGATGATGAAATATGATTCATAACTGTAGTAATTACCTATTTTACTTTCTATTTTTATAATACCACATTAATTATAAATATTAGTTGACTTGTACTGTTAAGGCCATGTTTGCTTCATGACTTATACTCTTAGTCCTGCCAGTTTTGAGTGTATTGAGGATTTTACAAGTGATCAAAATAATCATGAACAGAAAAATATTAAATTAAACTCTTTATTCTTTACCTACATGATGAAATGTAATTATAAAAAAACATTACAATTAAAGTTCTAAAATTAACTTACAATAAAATTGTTATTCAGAATCTTCAGAATCGGAGCCTGGATATGTGTTTTTTACCCCTGCTGATGTTTTCATAGACTTATAAAAATTATGAAATTGGGGATGTATTAGGGTTAAAAGGGCCATGATATCCTTTTTCTTTTCCACAGAAATTGGCAGACTTTTTTTGTAACACTTTGGAGGTTCTAGAGTAACATCGTCTGTGTTATTGCGACGATGGAGATCAATGCAACGGAATGGCTCATCCTTATCTAAGGTCAATTTAAAAAACATTTTTGCTGGCTCTCTTGTATATCTCAACCAACGAATATCTGTCCATTTGAAGGAAAGACCGACCTCATCCTTTGTCCTTAAAAACAGATCTTTTTTGTAGAGAGCTGCAAAATCTAAAAAATCCTTGTGATTTAGTTCAACAACACTGAACTTTTTTTTCTTTCCACATGTGCGAACTAGCTGGTACCAGTCGTATGGCGTAGAAATTGGCATTTGCAAAGTTTTTTTTTGCTTTTCAATCATCCCGTGGTCAACATCGCATTCAAGATGACTGTGACCACTCACCATGAATTTATGATCTATGCATTGCAGTTGAGGACATTTTTGCATTAGAGTTAAAAACATTGCTGAAACATGAGAGTTCCTGTTTTGTCCTCCGCACGAATCAGAATACAAAATGACGTTTTTAATTGATATTGGGAGAGAAGAAAGTTCTTGATAGAGGCACGTCGCAATTTGGTTAGCACCTCTGCCACCTTCCGCCTCATGCCACATGTAGCACTTAACTGCCCCACTACTTGTATTATGCATAGTAAGGTTAAAAGTCCACAACTGCCTCTTGTAGAAGGCTACTGACGTATTAAGGTAAGGTGTAGGCAAACATTGCTGTAGATCAAACGCAAAGCAAATTTTCTCATCTTTGTTTAGCTTAGCATCTACTTTGTCTTCCTTTTTCATGTCATACGCTAAATCTGCTTCGTCTAGGTGCATTTTTCGTTCATTTTCCACAATCTTACGTTCATGTTCATTTTGAGCAATTTTTATCTTCATCAAGAGAGTGTCACATTTGTGACAAGTATCTACTTTTGGTTTTTTGAAGGAAATATTTTGCTTATGGAATTCACGTTCATATATTGCTCTAGAAGCAGGGTTGTGGACATTTTTCTGGTACAGCGAGTACATAATTGCTAAATTTAAATAGGGTGGTAGATATTTTTTCACGCTTTTCTTTCTTGAGTAATGTGACTCGTATGCTGGAAATGATTTTATGTGATCTTGAATATGTTTAATTCTCACATCTGAAATTTTTGATGGTGGAGGTTCTTTGCCTCTTTGATCACATTTTGATATGCCTGATGTTGACTTGAGAGATGAAGAAATGGCAAGTGTCACGAACATATTAGTTTCACCTAGTACCTTCATAAAACAACCGCGACATACTTTGCTTTTTGTACCATTTATTTTAAAGAAAAAGTTATGTGTCCACTGCCTAAACTTTTCTTTATTTGGATCATCTGTTCGTTTACGCATAGTTTTAGGTTCAATACTTTCAACCATGTTTGACACAAAATTTGCCCTTTTATCACGGCTACCAAGACTCCAGTACTCCTTGAAAATTTTTTTTTGTATCTCGATGGAGAGTTTCTCTTTGCAGTTTGCTCGACAACTGCCCAAAGCTGTCATTACTCTGGCAGGTTTTTCTTTACCATCCAGTGTTACATACCTCTGGCCAGCATTTCGTTGCTGAAATTTCTCAATTCTTCTCTTTTTTGAATACTTAGCTGGTTTACCAGCAGCTATTGAGGTGCTAATATTATTACATTGAGTTGACTCTCGTTGTGCTTTTCGCTTCTTCTGTGCTCCTTGAGTGTGGAGAAAAACTTCTATATCTTCCTCAGACGCAGAATTATTATCCATTTGGTAATGATTTATTGGCTCCCCACTTATTACTTCATTTTCACCTGCTAACAAAAAATAAGTTACTTATTAAAGGAAGGGACCATTCTTGCTTATAAACATACTACTCATGAAATTCTAATTTTACCTTCTAAAAATTCATGGACAACATTCTCTATTTCTTGTATGGTGCCCTCAATGTCATCGGAATTAGGTTCTTGCATCGTTTCAAAACCAATCGTTTGGTCAGGAGCATTTCGGTTAATATCAATTAATTCTCCATTATCTGTATTTTGTTGTGTGGTAGCTTCAGTAAGCTCACATGTACTTGTTGTCAAGGGTTCAATTTGATTTACAATGCCTAAAAAGCACATATGTCTATAAGTAAAAAGTATTAGGTATTTATCTACAGATACCTATACGAATGGGAGTTCTTACCAGTATGGGGATCTATGGTCATCTCAATCCCAATAATTTCTTCCGTAGTTGAATCAATAACATCTTTTTGATTCAATAGTTGATTGAGACTTAGTCTAGGCATTTCGTTATACCCTGCAAGCAGCAAAGAAAATATGTTAAATTGTTGGTGTAATAATTTCATCATTGGTTAGCAACTTTTAAACAAATAAAACAAACTTAACTCACCTAATTTTGTAGATGAAGAATCATCCTTTTGTTCTAATAATTTTAGAATTTGCTTTCCTCTACTCATTTTTAAAAAATATTTATAAGAGGACACTGATACTTTCACAGCAACCTACTTTAAGAACACTTAAATAAAAAAAATACTTAATTATTCATGTTTTTGTTTTAAATGGGATTTAGCTATTTTTATAATTTTCTACTCAGTATTTCGAAAAATTAAGAAACAATTTATAAACAATAACAATAACTACCTTCTTAAACTTTTGACAGAACGAAAGTTATAAACAGGTTTGCCAAGTTTACAACTACTACCGAACTCTGCACACTCATAACCTCGAAATTTCCTTTTCGCACCACTTTTAAATTTGTTAATTCATTGAAATTTTATGCTTAAATTTTGATTATTTACATTTTTTCAATACAAACGCCCTCCCAATGTCTCAAATTTTGTTTTTCCTTTTTATTTTTATAATTTCCTTTTGTACAAAAAGGCTACAATATGGAAAAATTTCCATGATCTGGCATCACTGACTAGAAACACCTAACACGTGGTATAAATACTAGGAGTATAAGTCAAGCTGCATAAGTGAAAACGGAAGGTACTAACAATATAAGTTGACTTATACTCTTAATACAAAGCAGACTTTTGAAATTAGAAGTTATACTGTTGGAATAAAATCAATATTTATATATGAAAAACAGGCTATTGACTTATACTCCTAGTACAGAAATAACTAATAAACATCAAAAATTCAAAATATAGAAGAATCCCAAAACGTCTTTTTTTGACTTATACTCTTAGTACGTAGCACGTTAGAAATATCAATCATCAACTTGTCATTACTTTTGATGGAACTGACATGGCGGAATTAAGCTTCGTTTGATTATTTTAGTTGTGACATTCAAAGATGGTGTTAAAATAAAATGATTGGTTAAAGTCTTCGTGAGCGAGATAGGCTGTCATCTCTCTTTATTAACCGACTGGAGTCAAAGTGATGGGGGAAATGTTCAAGGTTATTCATATAAGATTCCAGGCCATGGCTATACTACTCTCTCAAAGTGAAGATGATTTACAACGTATGCTGCACCAATTTAATATAACCGCCAGAAAATTTATAATGTTAATTTCCCCAAAAAAGACAAAATGCATGGTTACAACACCAAATTTACTAAGATGTAAATTGGAGCTGGAAGGTCACATAATAGAACAAGTGATGGAGTTTAAATATCTAGGCATCTCATTATCTATCCAAAGAAAGCTCGAAACCGACGTGGAAGATCAAGTGAATAGAGCAAACAGAGCCACAGGCTACCTGAATGAAACAATATGCAGAAACAAAAATATTGGGAAAGAAAAGAAAGGCAGAATTTACAAAACAGTCATCAGACCAATAATTACATACGCGGCAGAAACAAAACCTGATACAGAGAGAAAAAGGTTTTTTTATGGCATAGACTTTCGTAGTACAGACGGTAAGAGACGGTTCCCCAATAGGAAGACGATCAGTACGAAGACCACGAAAACGGTGGAATGACAACTTACTGGAGGTACATTGAAAAACAGACAGAGTCATCTCTATATAAAAAAAAGAAGAAGCAGAAGAAGAAATACTTTTAGGGTTATGATGCCAAAAGAAGAATGTAATGAAAAAAAACTGTAAATATGAATTTATATGTCTGCAGCAAATATAAAAAAATAAAAATAAATTATTTTTTAAACTTATATTACTATCTATTACCTGGAAAACATGTCTGTATAGTTGTTGATACTTGTCTCTGTAGCGTTTGCATTCAGTACTGGTATACTCGTGTTCTGCAATGAGTCGCATCTTTCTGTCCTTCATTTCTTTCACTTCATCCGCTAAACTCAAGATTTGGTCGAGCTTTCTCTTTCTGCAATTCTGGGCAGCCACCTTATTCTTTCCTCTTCGCCTTATGTCCCTGATCAGACTTAACTGAGCTTCACTGAGATCGTATTTAGACAAGCGCTCATTAAATTCGTCCATTGGTAGGTTAATGATATCGTCAACAGAAATGGGTACGTTCAACGCCCTGGCACGTTTTTCGTCTCTTGTTAAATACTCATCTTCTGATTTACGCTATTAACACAAAAGATGTATGTTAACAAAAAGTATAATGATTTAGCTTTATATTTATCTTACGTGTTTAGATTTATCTCTTAGGACTGGTCTCTGCATGGCACCAGCACTTTCAGCCGGTAAATGGTAAGTGTGATTATGTTGTATGTGATTTACATGATTTCTTGCTAGATGACTTTGAAGACCGAATTCCATCGAGCACGAATACTTCATTTCCGGTAATTTCGGTCCAACCGCACCTTCAGACTGATTGGCAATGTTGTATGTAGTAGAAGGCTCTTGGTATTCATATTTCAAAGGTGTTACAGGTGGTTGTGATGAATTGGACGAGCTATGATCTTGAAAATACCGCTTTCCGTACATCTGATGTTTCTTTTGGGCCACTGGTGGGACTCTCGTATTGTCGGAAGCACCCAAGCCGTTGTTCAACTGTCTGCTGGTGTAGCTATAGTCGTATGGGCGGACTTTGCTAGAAATTTAAATACAGATCTTTAGGTTTAATAAATAAAAAATAGTTGTTGAAATTAATAAAAATAATAATAATAAGAAATAAGATCAAAAATAATATGCAGCCTTCAATATTAATAACAAGAATTACGATTCTGGTTTGAACCGTGTCTTGTTTGAACAAGAAGTATGTGGGTACATCTCGAAGTTTCGTTACAATTATGTATTATCATCATTTTGGATTTACAACCCTGCGTGGATCCTAGCCTTCTCACGAATTTCTCTCCAGTCATCCCTATCCATCGCCTTTCTCCACCAAGCACGTATTCCCATATTTCTCATGTCTTCGTCGATGTTATCAAGGAACCTTGTTCTGGGTCTTCCTCTTCTTCTCTGATCAATGGGTCTATCAAGGAGCGTTTTTTCTAGCTAAGTCATTTTGTTCCATCCGCATTACATGCCCTATCCACCTCAGACGTCCTATCTTAATATGTTTACGATATCAGGTTCCTGGTGTAATCTATAAAGTTCGAAGTTGTATTGTCTTCTCCACACTCCATTGTCATTTACTGCTCCATAGATTCGCCTTAGTACTTTTTTCTTTCTAAACATCCTAATATGTTTTTATTATTTTTTGTTAGAGTCCAGGTCTATGAACCATATGATAGGACTGGGATTAATATTGTTTTGTAGAGTTTTATTTTTGTATTTCTCGATATAATTGTGGATTTAAGGAGGAGATTGAGTCCAAAATAGCATCTGTTGACAGTGCAAATTCTGCGGTTTATCTCTGCGATAGTATTATTTTCAGTTTAAAGGAGCGTTCCCAGGATAACGTAGTTTTCATAACAAGTGGTCAAAGGATTTTTGGTTCCGTTCTTATTTCCATATACTTCGTTTTGTTGGTGTTTATTATTAAAAATATCTTTGTAGCTGATTCTTTTAATGCTACATACGCCTCTCGTATGTCAATGTATCTCGTATCAATGAAGAAACATCATACTACAGTAGTAATGGGCGATTTTAATGCCAAAATTGGACATGGATGTGTGGACGGTAATGTGGGTGACTATGGATTTAGGAGAACGAAACGAACGAGGAGACCGTATGGTACAATTTTGTCAAGCAGAGGAGTTAGTAGTTGCTAACACTCTTTTCAAGTTACCTAACAGACGACTGTACACATGGAAATCTCCGAGTGACACCAAAGGTAGAGTAGTCAGAAACCAAATTGACTTTGTCCTTGTTAGTCAAAGATTCAGCAACTCTATACTCTCAGCTAAAACCTACCCAGGAGCAGATATAGGCTCGGATCACAATCCTGTAGTAGTCACATTAAGAATAAAACTAAAGATCATTAAAAAACACATACAGAAACAAATTGACGTGAGAAGACTGAATGAACAACATATAAAAGAGAAAACAATAGTGAACATCAAAGAAAATTTACAAAATATAGAGAAACTGAATAGAAATACTGATAACATAGACCAAAAATGGGAGAATATTAAACATGCCGTAATGTTGGCAGGAAGAGAAAATTTAACACCGAAAGAAAGGAAACATAAAGAATGGATGAATGAGGAAATACTACAGTTGATACGTGAAAGAAGGGTACACAAAACAAATAATCCGATAAGATACAAAGAAACAGATAAACTGATAAAAAAGAAAATAAGAGAAGCTAGAGAAAGATGGCTAAGTGAGCAATGCCAGGAGTTGGAACAATTGGAGCGAAAATATGACTTTTTTAATGTACACAAAAAGATTGAAGAAATGACAGGAAGGAGAAGAACAAGACAGACAGGACAGATCAAAGATACAGATGGTATAATTATAACAGATTTACGACAAAAAATGAACCGATGGACAGAATACATATCACAACTGTTTGATGACAAAGATAGACAAGAAATCTCAAACGAATATACAGATGATACAGGGCCTGATATAATCAGAGGAGAAATAGAATATGCAATCAAACAAGCAAAAAGTGGTAAGGCCCCCGGTCCTGATGAAATTCCCATAGAACTGCTGAAACCTATGGACGATGAATCTATTAAAATACTCCTAGATCTATTTAACACAATATATAGAACTGGAATAATACCTAGGAAATGGCTCCGTTCGACCTTTATACTACTGCCAAAAAAGGCAAATACACAGGAATGCAACGAATATCGTACGATAGCTTTGATGAGTCATGCTCTAAAACTGTTCTTAAAAATAATCCATAATAGGATTTATAGGAAATTAGACGTAGACATCAGTAACACTCAGATGGGATTCAGAAAAGGGCTGGGTACAAGGGAGGCTCTGTTTGCAATGAACCTTCTCTCACAGAGATGCTTAGACATGAACCAAGAAATTTACGCCTGCTTTATTGATTTCGAAAAGGCCTTTGACAAAGTAAAACATGAACCACTAAGACAAGTTCTAATAAAGAAAAATATAGACAGCCGAGATATTCGAATTATATGCAATCTATATTGTAATCAAACAGCAAATGTCAAGGTTGAGGGCAGACTAACAGAAGAAATTCAAATCCGTCGAGGAGTCCGGCAGGGATGTATCTTATCGCCACTTTTATTTAATCTGTATAATGAAGCTATCTGTGAACAAGCACTCGAGGAAGAAGATCTTGGTCTGATAATAAATGGTGAGACGATCAACAATATAAGGTATGCTGACGATACAGTTCTCCTAACGGGAACGCTAGTAGAACTACAACATCTCGTTCAAAGTCTCAATATATACTGTAACAGTTACGGCTTGAAAATTAATTTGAAAAAAAATAAATTTATGGTAATCACGAAATCAAAGAACATCAGAGCTAATCTTGTAATAGACAATACCACGATTGAGCGTGTGCCCTGTTATAAATATCTAGGTGCTTAGATCACAGACGAAACTGATCAAACAAAAGAGATTAGATGTAGAATAGAAATCGCTAGATCAGTCTTTAATAGAATGCGCAAACTCTTTTTCAATCGTGATATCAATATAAAGTTACGAATACGAATGCTGCGGTGTTATATCTTTTCTACCCTGTTATATGGAGTTGAGGCTTGGACACTAAAACAGTTGACCATAAAAAACATCGAAGCTTGCGAGATGTGGTGCTATAGGCGCATTCTCAGAATATCATGGATGGACCGCGTCACGCAAGTACTCCAAACTTTAGACAAAAGATGCGAAATTCTAAATGAGATAAAAACTAGAAAGATGGAATACTTGGGGCACATTGTGAGAGGTGAAAAGTACGAACTTTTAAGAAATATCATGCAGGGCAAAATTAAGGGCAAAAGAAGTGTGGGAAGAAGAAAAATATCGTGGCTTCGTAATCTACGTGAATGGTTCGGGTGTAGTTCGATTGAACTTTTTAGGCGCGCTGCTAACAAAGTCGCAGTGGCCATGATGATTTCCAATCTCCGCTAGAAGTGGCACGAGAAGAAGAAGACGCCTCTCGTACAGCGTTTTACGTTCTCCAACAATATTGATATCATCAGCGTAGTCCAGGATTTGCACTGATTTATTATATATTGACCAGTGGTTGTGATTTGTGGCATACGTAATACTTTTTCCAAAGCCCGATTGAACAGTATACAGGAGGGAGCCTCTCCTCTATATTAAGTGCCTAGTTAAAGTATTCCACCCATCTATTCAATACATCTTTTCTTGTTGTTAATAGTTCGACATTCTGATTTCTGCATTGTCTTGTGGTTGCCTTGAATTCATTTCTGTTGATGTTAACTCCCTTATAGAATGCTCTGAATTCTTTCTTTCTGTTGAGGTTTTCTATATATTTAAGTTCCTTATTTTGGTGGTTTCGTTTTTTTTGTGTATCCTCTTTTCTTCTTTGTCGCAGCCCGTTCCCTGGCGCAGCCCGTTATTTATTTTAAAAGGGTCAGACAGTTCTCCCTGAATTCGTAGTCTACATTTAACTTTTTCAAGAGTTAGTTTTGTTAAATTTACCAACTGATTTGGTACTCCTAGCTTTTCATTGCTTTAAACATTTTTCTTCTATTCACAAAGTAGTAGGCTGCTTTGTAGTCAATAAATATGTGATGAGTATGGTGCCATACGGTGACATGGAAAATACTTTATACGCTGCATTTAGAAGCGTAATTCCTCTGTGGTTAGAGCATTCAAAGATATCTCCTTTTTGTGTATGGTGCAAAGAATTCCAATCATAGGGGGGAGGGATTTCTGTGTCCATATTTCTTTTATAAGCTGGTGTAGTGCCATTATGGTATCATGGCCACCTTCTTTATATAGTTCAGCTGGGAGATTATCTACTCCGGGTGATTTGTTTCTGTCTAGCTTTTTAACAGCATCTTTAACTTCAAGAATCGTTGGTGGTTCTTCTTCCCTCCGGTCTGTTCCCCATACCTCATCTCTTTCGTCTTCCATGTTTTCTTCTTCTCTCTCTATATTAAGTGCCTGGTTAAAGATTTCCACCCATCTATGAAATACATCTTTTCTTGTTGTTAATAGGTCGCCTTTCTGACTTCTGCATTGTCTTGTGGTTGCCTTGAATTATTTTCTTTTGATGTTAACTTTCTTATAGAATGCTCTGAATTCTTTCTCTCTGTTGAGGTGTTCTATATATTAGGGTAAATACACACACAGCTGTTTTAACCGAAGCGTTTAACGCGTCGGAGGCTTCGTGTAAAGACAGACACAGCGTTTCTAACCGAAGCGTTTAACGAGTCGGTAGTGATTTTAAACACGATTTGTGTAGAGTTTGATATGGTTTTTGACACGACGTATTGTATTTGTCAGTATTGTACATGCGTTGAAAATTTTACAAGAAAAAAACAACAAAAACGTAGAATGTGGATACATCCAATTATCAAAAAGGGGACAAAAAGGGCATTTTCATACGTTGTTTGATGTGCAACAACGATGTGCAAACGATATACAACGAGACGATGAAACATTTTTTAACTTTACTAGGATGTCGCGAGATACTTTTGATAAGTTGCTCACAATTTGTCAAGAAAGGTTAACAGAGAGATACACGTTTGAGAAAATCAATAACACCACAGGAAAAATTAGTAATAACTATTCGGTAAGCAAATAAATTCTTAGCACTCTATCACTATATTCACTCTTCTACATATTCCAAAGTGTTGGTCGGTTTTCTACTTCGGTAATAAGCTTTTCTACATCAAATTTTTCTCCAGCCATTTCTAAAATTCAAAAATCGAGACAAAAACGCGCGTGTGTGTACAGAGCTATCAAAACACAATGAACACCCAACGCCTCTCGTTTTTAAAACAGATGCGATTCCAGACATCTACCACCAACCGACGCTGTTTTAAAACCGTTTTGGGAAACGCGGCGGTCAGAACCGCTGTGTATGTTTTACACCATTATAATTCAATACATGATGCATCGACTTGGAAACCGATGCGTTTAACGCTTCTGTTAAAACCGATGTGTGTGTGTGTGTGTCTTTACACTTAAAATTCCTTTAACACCTTTATCAACGTCTGTTTTACTTTGCAATTTTTAGAAAGCACAGATTAAAGCAGAAATCTGAATTGTGTTTCGAAACTATTTTACGGTTTTATTGTCAGATGTCGCTATTGCGTCCGTATTAAAGCCATTTTAGTGTTGCTTCTTAAAAGACAGAAAATATTGATCTTTCACGTTGAGAACACCTTTGAATAACTGTTCTGATGAGACCTATTAGGTCGAAATACGTATCAACAGATAAAAAGGCGCTGTTTACGTGAAATCAAATATTTGCTGTCTTTTCACTTTAAAATTTCTTATTTAGGTGGTTTCGTTTTTTCTTTTGTGTATCCGCTGTTCTTCTCTACTCTTTGTCTGGTAATTGTGTAAACTTGTGTATGTTCTTGCGTTCAAAATAGGTGCTAACGACTGTCATATTGAGTGCTGCTGCTTAGTTTATCAGTTGTAATCCATTATCGCTACTGATGTTCATGTGATTCATGTCACCTAATACAATCTTAGTGTCATTTTTGGGACATCTCCTGTAGGTTTGCTCTAGGATTTCGAAGAACTGTTCTTTTATTTCCTCTGGTTTGTTATCAGTTGGGGCATGTGCATTGATCAAACTGTAATTAAAGAATTTCCCTTTCATTGCATCTATAATATATGGTATGGATGCTCTTGTCAAGAGTGCCAGTTCCCGTCCACCGCATTTCCTGCAGTGCTAAAACGTGTCTAATAAATATGTGAGTGCTCCAATTCGGTGCAGGGTTCGGGTATTCCATGTTTCTAATCTAAACCCCATTTTTCGTTTGCAGAGTCGTCGTCGTAAAATTAAGTATAACTTCTTCAAAAGAAAGATTTTTGCTCTTTACCCTGGTCAATCGGCAAAAAAATGAACGATTTAAAGTAAAGTCATGAACAGCATATTTTCTTTAAAAAAAAAATGAATGAAATAAAATTTTTGTCCAAAAATTAATTACTAATAACTGAATTCAAAATATTTGCGTCCATTTTTTGTGCGGCAACCTATTATCAAGGTATTTTCCTAATTTTAAATGTATGTAAAAATGTGAATTTGATGAACTATGTTATGAACGTAGTGATCCTACAGTGGGATCTTCTACTATCAGAACCTTCAAAAAGCTGTATAAGATTTTTTCAGCTTTTTTTCCTTTACTGACCTACTTGGTCAAGTTATTGAAGTACTCGACGTTCCCAGAGGTTCTCAGTCATAAGTAATAGAAAAGCCATTTAATAGAAAAATATAATATTTGAATTGTAGGTTTAAATAATAACATTCCTGTTAAATAACGATAAACTATCTACAAAAACATAAAGTGAAGATATACAAAAGGCTAATTATGTTGGGAGAGAGGTAGAAATTATATCAAGAATGCGCGAAAGATGGATCATAATCATTCCAGACAATTTATGAATTTCTATTAAGAAAAAGGTTTCTCTCCTAGATAAGGCAAAGTACTTAGACTAATAATATAATATATTTTTTATAATAATAAAACTCACGATGCATAATCGGTGACATATGGTTCAGTAGACGTGTGGCCAGAATCAGATCCCGCATCTCCCCATTCCCCATCAGAAATGGAGGGTACTCGTTCCGAACCCATCGAACTAAGAGCACTATCACTCGATGTATCCATCCGTTCCATATCGTTACGAGACATTGAAATAGTGGTGTTATTTGTAGCAACGTTGTTCAATGTGCTGTTACCGTCCAGCATACGCATGGTGTACATGCCTAAAACAGAAAAAGTTAAAGATAATACAAAACAATAGCAAATATTTAATATTAGTGGTATGTTGTTGTATATATTTGATATTACGAAGGGGTCATTAATATTGAAATAATGTAATTGAAATGAACCTTTTGATCAATTTATTAGTTTATTAATGCACAAAATAATCGAGTCAGCATGTTCTGCTTTGTAGATGACGCGGCAATTATAGCGGAAACCGAGGACGATCTACAGAGACAATTTCATCAAATAAGTAGCATAAGAGTATACCGAAAATGCGACACCAATGTAAACATAGAACAATTTGTTTCAAGACTTTTGTGACCCGAGCTGATCTTAATAAAATGCAGAGATCAGATCAAATACAAATTTGCATCATATATTACATAAAAGCATTTGATTCTGTCAAAGACTCTGATTTATTGGAGATTTTAGATACAAAAGGACTACACAACGACATATATAGACCCTGCTTTACCTATAAATGCACTAAGTGGAGTCAGTTGGAATGGAAAGCGGTCTAACAACGGAAAACGCCTATTAATTATGAAGTAAGACAAGCATGTGTCCTATCGCCCATTCTGTTCAACGACTACTCAAAATGCATCTCTCAACGACCACAAATAGGAATAAAAACAAATGGCAAACGCTTATATAAGATACGCTAACGACTGTTAGCAGATACCACAGAAGAACTTCATTGTCTACTAAACAAACTAACCAGAGAAAGCGACGCTGAAAATTAATACGGCCAAAACCAAGATCATGCTCATAGAACAGTGTAGACCCAACCCAACCCAATAGAACAAGCGACTTAACTTTTGTGATGAGGAAAATAAAATTAAGGTCGAAGTGGTTAAAACAGCTTTTAAGAAATACCTCATTGACATGGTTTAATGTTACATGTTATCGATATGCAGATGTGGTGCAGACATGTTTAATAAAAGTAGTCAACAAATAGAATTGATTCATTTTGAGAACACTACTCACAATATCGTGGATAGACTGAGTTGCTAATGAGGGGGTGTTGCCTGAGAACTTTTGTGTGTGGTGGTGGTGAACCAGTGTAAGTTTCCTATTTGTGGCAAATCTTCAAGGTGGCAAAGGTTCAAGAAATTTCCTCCTAAAATTTATACTCACCAGCAAGATTGGGGGTAGAAGCGACCGGGAGTAAAAGTACACTTCTGACATTGAAACATACGTGATTGGTATGAAGTCGCAGATGCTGAGTCTATTTTCCCACTACGTGAAGAGAGAAACCTTAGAATAATTTATGAAGACAGCAACTGAAATGCCTACATGTTACCATCCGTACGAAACAAGAAGAAGAATGACAGTTTCAATATTAAATAAAATACCATATAAAATTATATTCACGAGTTATTTTTTAATCAAACCAATAAATGTGTAATTGACATAAAAGGATAGGGGAGAGCGGAGCAAGTTGATACAGCAGGGACAGTGAGAATGGTAGAGGGACAATGCGTTCACAGAAAAAAACAGCTTATAACTGAACGAATGAAGAAACAAAGGGTATTGTGGGCCAAAAAATACTCTAATTGGACTGTAGACGACTGGAGAAAAGTCCTATTTACAGATGAAACTCACTTTATAGTTCAGGGACAGCAGTTGAAATTTGTCAGGAAGTCTGACAACGAAAATCGTACACCATCCCATATTGATTAAACCGTAAGCCATCCAGTCAACAAAATGTTTTGGGAATGTTTTTCATACATGGGGGTTGGATCTTTAGTACCAATCCAAGACATGATGAACAGCCAAAAATACAAATCCATGTTGGAACAGCGTTTGGACACAGAACTTCAAAAATGTCAGCCTCAAGGAGGAGTGATTATGCAACAGGACTCTGCTCCCTGTCACAAGTCAAAGCAAATGATGGAATTTTTCAAAAATAAGAATATTAATGTTTTAGATTGGCCCGATAATTCACCAGACCTCAACTCTATTGAAAATTTATGGGCCATTTGCAACGATAAACTGCACAAAATCGACTGTACTACAAAAATAAAAATTATAGCTGTCATTCAGGTTTGGTTAAGAGATGAAAGGATATCTGCGAACTGTCAGAAGCTCGTAGAATCTATGTCAAAACTGATAAAAGAGTAATTTCAGCCAAATGCGGACATAACGTTGTAATTTCACCTTTAAAGTTTTGTCAAAATATATTTTTTTTTCTAAATAAACTGTTTTTTCATTAAAACAGCCTATGATTCTGTATGAACTTCTGGCTAATCATTGATGATTTACCATATTCCTGCTTGTACCATTTATTATTACAAATATAAAAAACTTTAATTAATTAGGGAGACGTGTTTACCTATTTATTGCTGCATGACAAGAGAGCGAAATTATCATTTGACAGCCGTTACATCAATCATGACAGGCTTGCCTTGTCTTTTACTACACAAGTACCTAAGCTTAACAAAATAAAATTTATGTCTAAACATGTCGGCCCCCTTGAAAGGACGCAGTTTCTTTCAAAACCTACAGAACTAACAAAATAAAAACAATGATTAATGAATTAAAAGAAATGGTTAACAATACAGTTAAAAATTGTCAATTCTCATTACTTAAATTGAAATTAACATACAAAACATTATGAATTGAACAACTAAAATTAACAGTCTATTGGCAAAACACATATACGATTGAGTGCTCTTTTTGTTTCACTACCACGCACTTTAACAGTTACAACTCTAGTAACTCCATCTGGACCTGGATGCATTTCTGTCACTCGTCCAAGAGGCCATTGAAGTGGAGGAGTCCTGTCGTCTTTAATCAGCACCAAAGAACCTAGCTTTAACATTTGGTGGCAATTATATTTCCATTTCTGGCGCATTTGTAGCTCGTTCAAGTATTCCAGTTGCCATCTCGACCACAGCTGTTGAACCATTACTTGTATAGATTGCCATTTATCAAGACGGTTCTCAGGAACATGAGTAATATCACACTCTGGCAACATAGTTAAAGTACGTCCAATTATAAAGTGTGCTGGCGTTAAGGCAGTGCTATCATCAGGATCGCCGGAAATAGGACAAAGTGGCCTAGAATTCAATATACCTTCCACCTGATGCAACAATGTACTAAATTCTTCAAAAGTCATAGACCGACAACCCATTACTCTTTTTAAATGAGACTTGATACTTTTTATTCCCGCTTCCCATAAACCCCCAAACGTAGGAGAATTTGCAGGTATAAAATGCCATTTTATTTTTTCATGTAATAGACTTTGAGAAATGGAGTCAGATGAATTTTCTAAAAACTCATAAACAGCATTTATTTCCTTGTTTGCGCCTATATAATTTGAACCATTATCAGAGTAAATATTAGAAGGTCTTCCTCTTCTACTAATAAATCTTTTGAAACTCGCTAAAAACGCATCAGTGGTAAGGTCTGACACTAACTCAATGTGTACAGCCTTAGTACACATACAAATAAAAATGCAAATATAAGCCTTGATTAATTTAGCACCTCTAGTTTTTCGATCCTTGATAAGGAACGGACCACCATAGTCAGTACCTACATTTTGAAAAACTGAAAAACTATTTACCCTATTCTGGGGCAAATCACCCATTAAATAATTTAAAGGTTTTGGCTTAGTTTTAAAACAAGCTATACATTTATTTATTACATATTTACAGCAGCTACGAGCTGAAATAGGCCAATATTTTTGCCTTAATGAAAAAATTAATTGTTGAACACCACAATGAAGCAATCGTTCATGTTCATTTAATAGAATTCTTTTTGTTAAAACATGATTATTTGGTAAAATAATTTGGTGTTTGCTGTTAAACGGAATATTACTATTTCTTAAACGTCCACCAACCTTTAGTAACCTTTCATGAATAAAAGGATTCAATGTTATGATTTTACTTTTATTTGGTATTTCTTTATTATTAATTAAATTCTTGTATTCTAAGGGAAAACATTCCTGTTGAACAGAATTGATTGCTAATGTTAGAGCTGCTTCAATCTCTTCTGGTGTCAGTATACCAGTCCTTCTCTTCGATAGTTCAACTTTACAATTATTAGAAAATCGTAAAATATATGCTAAAATCCTTAAAAATTTGTTCAATGAAGAAAAACGCTCTAACAAATAGTTAACCAAATTAAAGTTATTTACAGCAATACAAGAAACAACCTTTGCTTCCGGTACATTCTGGCACGGTTCAGGATTTAAAATATTCCATTCTTTACTATCTTCAAGAAGCCATTCTGGTCCAGACCACCACAAGTTATTATTCCTTAAATTGTCTGCCGAGAATCCTCGTGACAACAAATCAGCTGGATTGTGTTCTGAACGAACATGGTTCCAGGAATTCATACTAGTCAAATTTTGTATCTCTTGCACTCGATTGGCAACAAATTGTTTCCATTTACTAGGATCACCTTTAATCCAACTCAAACAAATTGTGGAGTCAGTCCAACAATAAATACCATTAACTGGAATATATATAAAATCCGAAACCCTTTTCAATAAATTAGCTAGTAAAACTGTCGCACAAAGTTCCAATCTAGGAAGACTTAACAATTTCAATGGTGCAACCCGTGATTTCGCACATAACAAATTACATATGTAAGATCCAGATGACATTAAACATCTTATATATATACAACAACCATAAGCCCGTGTAGATGCGTCACTGAAACCATGTAATTCAATATTAATATAACCTGATATACTAGCATGACGTGGTATTTTTAATGCATTCAAAGAATTTAAGTTACTGTAAAATTCTAACCAAATTTTAATAAAGTCTGGCGGTAACTCTTGGTCCCATCCAAATTTTCTTTTCCATAAATCTTGCATGATTAGCTTTGCATTTATTACAATCGGACCTAATAGTCCCAATGGATCGTATATCTGACAAATTACCGACAGAATACTACGTTTATTCCATTGACCTGGTTCAATAGAATAATCAATATTTATTTTATACCGTATAAAATCGTTCTGTGGATCCCAATAGATCCCTAACAT